GTTTACATTACAACATAAAATATTTATTATGCAGTGCTATGGATTGGGGAACATTAGTTACAATGCAGTTTTAAGGCAATTTGAGGAAAAATTTGGATTTTTAGTAGATACAAGAACAATTAAGAGAGTTGTTAAAAAATTTTCGGAAACGGGCAAAGTGGAAAATAAAAGGAAGGAAAAAGAGCTTTTAAATGAACATGATGCGGGGTCGATTGTTGCAGTAACAAACGCAATGGATTATGGTAAGGTGTCGTGTTATAAACCAAAATTTAACCACACTATTGAATTAGGTGATGAAGCAAAACGTTTAGATTATTGTTTGTGGCTTGGGTACAAAATTGTAAAAGATAGAACTTTTTTAAAAAACATAAAAACATTGCGGCCCACATTCGACCATTTTAATTAGAAATTATTTAAATACGTTATTTCGAAAAAAATGGATTGGTAGATATGATCCGCAAACATAGTCGCCAAAAAGTCCGGATTTATTTATTATGGATTTTTATTTTTAAGGTTATGTAAAACAAAAAATGTACACTGAAAATTTTAATAACAATTTAGACTGTTTAAAACAAAAAAATTGAAACTGTTATTAGAGAAATTCCGTTGGACCATATTAGAAAGTGTTATAAACAATGTCGGAAAAGGACTGAATTATGTGTTAGTGTTGGTGGTGGTATCATTGAATAAGCTTTTATGTTAATTTAGTTTAGATCGAAAATGTTTTGTTAATCTTATGATTTAAAAATCTGCATTTTGCTCTTATATCCTAAATTAATAAAATTCGGCATATCGCTATAATTTAACATAACAAACATTTTATCTTAATCAACTTTTGTTGTACATTGCTCAGAAAGGCCACTTTACCTGCAACGGTTAACAAACTTCTTGCGTTAACTTTGGTTCTTTGAGGACATTTGACGTAAAACTTGGTTATATTTCGTTTTATGTCATCCAGACTTTAATTGCAAAAGATGGAATTTGAATTCCAAAATTTATCGTCAATTATACCTTACGGGGACACAATCCGGGGACACACTGTATATGTTACAGTCAAAGTAATGAATCCAGATATTATATATACTATCCAGCCATTATTTATAATAGTTGGAGTTGTGTATTTTTCTTATCATCGTGTGAATTAAATAAATTAAAAAACGGTACTTGACCGATGACATTTATTGTAAAAAGTTTAGTTTTCTACCGGTTTCGACTGTGTAACAGTCATCCTCAGGAAATTCATCACTTCATCACTTTGCGTTATATTTGAGAGACCTGTAGTATTTTCTTGGTTGTCGGTCTCCTTATTAGGTTTTCCTGTTAGTTTATCTACAATTTCATTTTGCAAATCAGCGTTTTAAATTATAGTATCGCTTTCGATTTCTTCCTCTTCATTAATCACAGGGTCGGTAATATTGGGCTCGGCTTCCCTCTCCTCATGCAACTGGTTTTCGTCTTCATTTAATATAGATTCTAGCTCTTCTTCTGTTGATAGTTCAACTAGCACCACTTTNCCATATCCCTGTACTCCTCAACACGACTTAAAGTGCTGGCAGCAATATTGTAAGGATATATGCATGGTGACGAGCATCGGCTATAAGTAAGTACACAACATTTATCTATATTAAGGTTAAGTAGGTCTTCTTTGTAGGTCTTACATCATTGCACTATTGTGTTTAAGTTGTGCTGCAGCTTATCTGCATCTGAGACCGATGAGACTTCGGCAAAGATCTTGATCATCAGCATACCCAAAGATCCGAGAATTAATTTTTAGAAGTAAGTCATTTATGAAAAGAACAAATAATAGAAGGCCCTAATTTGATCCCTGTGGAACCCCTGAGGTAAGAGTGAACTCATTAGAAAAATATCCATTATAAGCAACATAACATTTTCTATGTCCAGTAGAGGCCAGAAGTTGAATTGCTGAAGGGACAAATCCGAAAGAGCTCAATTTATGCAAGAGAATTCTATGGTCAATCAGATCAAAGGCTTTTGATAGATCAGTGTATTCAACATCCATTTGCCCACGTCTATCCAAGGTGCCACAGATAAACTCGAAAATCGTAGCCAAGTTGGTAATTGTAGAGCGACCTAAAACAAAACCATGCTGGAAAGCCGACACAAAAGGGCGTTTGCTGGTGTACATAAAAGAATATGATAACTTTTCAAATAGTTTAGCAAAATTGGAAATTATCGATATTGGTCTATAGTTTGTTTCCATCGTTTAGGAAATTCACAGGACGTAATGGACAAGTTAATAATAAATTTAAGACGGCAAGCAAATATATAATAGCAGTCTCTGACCATAAAACTTGGCAACAAATCATCTCCAGCAGTATGCTGAAAAGAGTATAGCAACGGATTGAAATCAGATTCATTGAAAGTTCGGTCAGTAGATACACTATGAACAGCAGAAAACATGTTAGCCAAGTATTTACAATATCTTGAGGATCAGCAAGAACATTGCTCTCATTATCAATCAGATTACAGGATATTCTTGTAGGTCTTCTTAGCTCGGAGAAAATTTCATATACTGGATGAATTTGATGGTATCTTATATGTTGTTAAGATACTCCTTAGTCGCTTTAATTCGTTATACAACACAAATTTTTTTGTTTTGATCCATTTCTTGTGATTTAGAACTTCTTATTATTTTTAATATCAATGTCTCTTTATAGTGATATTGCTAGTGCAAAACTAGAACTAACACTAGACCTAGAACTAGTATCCTTCGGGTTTAGCGTGCGTCTGAAGATTGAAAGAAAAAATTCCCTGTATTTATTTATTTTATTAGGTTATTTGTTTTTATATCATAATCGATTTAAAATTTACTACGAAGATGCCTCGGTCGTATAGTACTGCTAATGTAGGATATTATCCGATACGTGACCGAAATTCTCAATTTCCAAGTGCGCTTGAGATCGACTGAGGGAGGAAGGGACGCTTAACTATCGCCGCACTATTTGTAATTGTTATTGTTATTGGTTCCTCCACGTCTGGATTTTCACGATGCGACGTAAGCCCATTGATTGTTATGTTAATGAAACCGTAAAAGCGGTGGTGTAGGAGGACGTTGGTCCTCTGGTTCGGAGCTTTCGCAAAGACAAACTTTCATGGGGCGCACTTTTGCCGGCACGGAATTGTAAAATGGAAATTATCCCGACCCGGTTTAACATTAGCCGGGAATTGTCGGATAAATTTAATTCCTGCGTTATTTTCGTTTCTAAACGAAGAATATTGTTCCCGTTCGGATAATATCTGTCTTATATTGGTCGCATCTTTGGCGTTAAGTAAGATCACGTTTCACCTGTAAACATTCGGCCTCCAGGAAGCCGCTTGAGGATAAGACCGTCCCGCCGTATATTTTATAGTTAATAACGTCATTTATATTCAGTACAAATAATATTGGACCCGATACTGTTTCCCGGTGTCGCCTTCTTCCTCTATTTTTAAACTTCCTAATACAGTTGTTCTCTCATGGATGGCGTAAGGTTATAACCGTACATAACTTTTGATTAAATTTAAAACTGTTTTGTTCACTCGTTCGCGTTTCGTATACTTTACCTAATATTAATATCAAGAGTGCATTAAATTTTTTTATGAAGTAAAGCAGCTTTTTTTCTTAATATCTTAATTATAATTTATAAAAGCTTAAAAGGTTTAAAAAGGCTCCTTGATGTCGGGGTTTATACCAAAACTTAACCTGCATTTTCATGATAATATTAATGTATTCGCCGGATTATATGAATAGGAGAAAAATCGCACGCGATCGATCTATAATCGTAAAAGTTAGATTTACATTGAGAATAATCCTTATTAACCTTTTTTATACCATGAGGTCATTGGAAATTTGAAATTTAAAATTTTTGTTGCCTCACTTATTACTTTATAGACTGGAACTAATAACTCACTTATAATTTTGTTGTCTATAATTTGCAGAGTGCTGACAGGAGACTACGATAACGTACTGAAGATGCTAGGTGAGATCTTGGCGAAACTTTTCTAAAAAGAACCAACGGATGAAATCTCGGATCGACCACAACAACACATACTTTTCCATCCGTGAAGCACTACGCATTACCAATGTAATATATAACTAATAATATAATGGATAATAAATAAAATTGGAAAACTAAAAAAAGTTACAAAGGACGAGAATTTCTGAAGCAGTTAGGAATGAATTGATTGGTACTAGAAAAGGTGGAGAAGAAGATTCGATGTCGCAAGAGTGCTCTCATAAAAACGGAAGCTTTAAAGGGAGTAGATGTGAGAATTGCCAATTTTGTAAGTATTTGTGAATAGCTGTAAATTAAATATTCATTAAAATTCAATATTATTTACAGAAATAGGAGTTGGATTATTGGTTAAAAAAATTTGGTGTTAAGGGAAAAAAAATAGAAATAATTTCAAAAAGTAAGTAATTAAATAAAACTACACTATAACCATCTAGATTGCAGGTTTTAATGAAACCTCCATGCAATAAACCATCCTTTACATCCTGCAGAATTACCCTATTAGCATACACTGGTAATTCCCAAGATTATATAAAGGCAACCCTTCATAGCTTCAACCCATTAAATACATTTAAAATACATAGTAGTTACTTTGTATAATTCGTTATGGACTTATATGAAATTGTGATAGTCGTATCATCTATAAAAAGCTGCAGTAGCTAAACTATACCTTTAGGTTCGTTGTGGAGGTGGGTGGGTGGTAATAAACTTGTTAAGTAATTTTTAACAGTTTTATCCGTCCTTTAAAAAGGCGTAGAACTCCTCCTGTCCCCTTTTTTATTGCATTTTTTCACGTCACGCTATTTTTTAATATTGGCCATTAAAAGGCGTAAAAAAAGCGCTGGCGGCTCGCAAACGAGGGCGTATCAAACGGCGACGGTAGCATCTCAGGTACGCGAGCGCCACCCGTTCGGCGACGCTTCGAACTTCGCCCCGGCTTCAGTAAGCGCTCAGTAGCTGCGTGCAGCCTGCAGAGGGCGCTTCGACTAGGACCTTCGTCGCCGCGCCAAAAACACCAGTTCAACGCGAGTTCGTCACGACGCGAAGGACGACTACAACGCCGACCGCAAAGTTTTGTGAACTTCCGGTTCCGGGTGACTTTGGCGACCCAACGCCTCACTGTTTTTGCTACTGTAGTGCTTTTGTTTTTGGTGCTCACGAAATTTCTGTGTTTCCGCTCGAAATATTTGTGCCATCGTAATTGCGTCGGATTTTGGGGTTAGCACAAAGTGAGTATTAAAGTTTTTCTTTTGCGGTTCTACTTTTTTCTACTTATACAATATATTATACATTATAAATTCATTTATTTTTAATATTTTTGCATAAAATGCATTAATAATTTTTTTATTCATTAAATGTATCAGTTGTAGACAGATTTTAATCTATTTTAAATATTTCATACGCTCAAATATGTATATATACATACACATACAGATATTTTTAATTCATGGAAATGTATTTTTTTGTTTCAAATTCATTTTTTTTATCAAGCTTTACTTTTGTGTAAACAAAATTTGTTATTCATTATACATTATATATTAATTGTGAATACCCATTTATATATATATATATATATTTGTGTTGTTGTGGTAGATCCGAGATTTCATACGTTCTTCCTGTTGGTTCCCTTTACAAAGAAGCACACGTTTCGCCAAGATCTCATCTGGCATCTTCAACAATTATAATAATATATATAATTGTATAGATTATTTTATATTCTTGTTTTTATTGTTACAAATCATAAAATATTATAATTTCAAACAAGTATAGGAGTAATTGTTTGGTACAATGACCCGTTAAACGGAGTTGCGGGTCGTTTTTCACACGCGTTTGCCACCAATTAGTTGGAGTCGCCGTCGTGTCCGGCCGTTCACCATTCGCGACTATTAAATTATATTTAGCGATGAACAACAACCATCTGGAGCTGGTGGCCGGCGCAACACTCGTTGTCCGCTAGTTGTCATCATCGAATATTTGCAGTTATGCCTCGTAAATTTCAATTTGCCCTCTTGTCGGCTACTCGCGTTTCTAGTTGGATTAAACAGACTGGGTGGTAAAGTAGCTGTTGGCTACCGCGTATGTTTCGCCGCTACTTCTATTCTCTACTAGCACCCAATGGGCTATAAATTTTACTTACTCTTCACACAAGAGACAGTAATGTCAGCTGAATATTATCAAATCTTGTGGAAAGTATGTTCCTTGCAAAGTGGTGCTTTCATCATATATATCGATCTTATAAATCTATTTAATCTCCCATCTTGTATATATTAATACTTACCATCTTTGATGCAGATAAATTTTATCATACAGCATTCTTCGAGATGTATTGAACCATCGATCAATGATTACCGCAGTACTAATACAAACTAAATTGAGAGTGCTATTTTCGTAGCGGGCAATAATACTGGTGTCAGTAAAAAATTCTTCAAATAACATCAATAAATATACAGTTACTCATTATGAGATCAACTTACTCTTCACACAAGAAGTCATTTGAATATTACCAAATTTTGTGGAAAGTATGTTCATTGCAAAGTATACCGATCATATAAAACTATTTAATCTCCCATTTTGTATATATTAATACTAACCATCTTTAATGCAGCAAAATTTTATCATACAGCATTCTTCGAGATGTATTGAACCATCGATCAATGATTACCGCAGTACTAATACAAACTAAATTGAGAGTGCTATTTTCGTAGCGGGCAATAATACTGGTGTCAGTAAAAAATTCTTCAAATA